GTGTGTGTGTGTGTGTGTGTGTGTGTATGGCAGCAGCACTGGGAGGCAATCACAGCTGGAAAATAGCAAACGCACTCGTTAATTAGAGGAAAGCTGGTTGGCGAAGCATGATGCAAAGACACAGAGCAGCTCCCATACTGTCACATTAAAGTCTATTATATGTTTGTCTTGCCTTTATATCTGTCTCTGCAAATATCTGTGTGCATGCATGTATCTGTGTGTGTGTGAGATGCAGTGGTCTATTTTTAGGCCGAGGGTAATTTTGCAGAACAGGCTCTTGTCCCTGTTGTAAAGCAGCACTCTGTCTTGTAGGTGAGACACTCTGGGTGAGCAGCAGTTATTTGTAACTTAAAAGGCACACGATCATACAACCTAAAAGCCTAGAGAGTCAAGTCTGAGACCTGTGGGTTGCTGGTTCAAGTCCCCAGCCAGAAAAGAATGATCCGGGAAGGTGAGGTAAATAAACAGGAGTAGTGCTTTCCCCTCCCTTTTTTATTCTAATCTATTTGTACTTACACAAAACATCTAATCCCAATCTGTTCAAGTGGATCTGATCAGTGGCTAACATCAGATGAACATGACGGCTAATCATTGACACTTTTTTTATGATTTGATGACTGGTAAAGTCATCTATGAAGGAAAAATCTATCCATCAATCCATTCCATACATTATTTATACCTTACTATGTTTATCCTTTTAGGGTCATGGGGGGAGCTGGAGCCAATCCCAGCTGACATTGGGGCAGAGTTCAACCTGGACAGGTTGCAGGGCCAACATACATACATACAGAGAGAAACAACCATTCACTCATTCACCATATGGACAGTTTACCTAACCCCAGTCTGCATTTCTTTGGACTATGGGAGGAAGTCGGAGTACCCAGAGAAAACCCACACAGACACACAGAGAACATGCAAACTCAATTAAAATCAGGATCCTTCTTGCTGTAAATCAACAGTGGTTACAAAGAAAAATGCCAAGTATTATCTAATTCAAGCTGTAAGCTTCTTAATGATTTAAATCTGGCACGTATGTTTGTTTAAACTATTGATTAAGGTAAGGCTTTTGGACATTATGGCATTGGAATATTTCAACATTTTGCTACATTTCTGGTATTTCCAAATTCATGCAAAAAAAAGGGGGGGGTGGAAATGCATCCAATTAAGGCTCTTGGAGCTTGTAATGATTAAATACAGATTCAATAGTGATAAGAAAATTACTTGAGGATGTGGTATATTTCCCTTGATAAATTAGATTGAGTAGATGCTGCAATATATTTCTCTGTTTGATCTGCTGGTGATCGTCAGAGGATCACCAAAGTCATTAGGATTCAACCCCCATGGCACCATGGATATCCATCTATGCATCCATCATCTATACTGCCTATCCTTTGAGGCTCACAGGGGAGGTGAAGCCAATCCCAGCTGACATCGGACAAGAGGCGGGGTATATCCTGTTCAGGTCACCAGCCTATGACAGCGTTTACCGTGGCTATATCGACCAAATTTCACTGCAAATTCACCCGTTAGGCCCTGAGCCAGGCCGCATACATGTCTTAAAAACTGCCTAATTAAGGACTTTCAAGGTTGGGGTCAGAACACAAAGTGATATCCTGAAGAAGTGGACTTTCAAATGCGAGCTGCTAAGCATAAAGTTGTCACTTGTTCATCTGTGTGAATCTGAGTCTTGTGTGGTCAACAAACCTGACACAATCAAAAACTAGAAAGGCCAATTCACTGATAAAGATTGGTCAAACAGAAGCGCATCACAGCATTAGGAAGAAGGAGCATTTATTAAAGGCTGCCATTGTTAAAGGGTGTTACTTTTTTTTTACTTTCTCACCTCTTCCAATCCTATAATCTATCACTGAGTAACAAAACATTGGGTGATCATTTGATCATTAGTTTAAATGCTCAAAGTAGCACTGACTGTTAAGGAGCCACTAAAACTAGCATTTTCAAATATTGAGGCAGGGAACTGACGAGGCACATGAATTCATAACAACAAACTGGGACCCAGAAGGATCCCTTAAATGATGCTGACTTTGATAAATCCCAAAGAAGTTGTGCAGACTTATGAACACAACATGACTAAATATACAGACAGAGACAGAAGCAGAGAACACAAGTGCTCAAAGCAGAAGTGTGACACAAAAATCGAGGGGGAAATGGGTTGATTTCTGTCTTGGCGTCGTCTCTGATGTTGTCTCAGAGGCGGAATGAATGCGACTTGCTCAAAAAGTGGATTTATTTCTTGATGGCGGGGGACACAAATGACTCATCTCTCCCGTCCTGAGACAGAATTCTTTTTGTTTAAAATGTTGTTTGTCGGAATGAGGCTCCTGCTCTTTGATGGCAGGGGTGATGAGCCAGAGCACCTGGGAGGGCTGCAGGCCAAGAAAACACGGGGGCGTGGAAATGGCAATGGGCCATTGTGATGGATGCCCTGTCATCTGTGTTCCGCACCCGATGACACGTGTTCAATCTCAGTCCCGTGGCACCTGTTGATGGGGCAGGATGAGATTTCACGCCACTGTGGAGCTGTGTATGTGCATGTGTGAGAGTGAGTGAAAAGGAGTGTGGGATTCAGACTGAAAGAAAGAAACCTGTCAGAGGACAAGAGTGAGCAAAGAAAAATGGATTAGCAAAATACGAAGTGAGCTTTTTCAGTTCCTGTCAGGAAATATTCATGTTGAACAAACCCAGATTGTAGTAATTACATGAGATTGGTGCCATTTTTTTATTATTATCATTATTAGCTTCAGGGAATTTTGTAATTTTGCTAGTGGATTGCCAGATGAGACCTTAGAAAATAACAGACCCAACATTTTTCACAATTAACAAGCAAGTGTGGAGAGTAAAAACTCCCTTTACACAGGAATACCCTCCCTAAGAACAAGACTCAGTGTGGGAGGCCATTTGTAAAGTAGAGAATTCAAACTGTGTTTTGCTTTATTATTGCTGTCACTATCAGTTGATATGGGGATGTATGTGGGTTATATTCCACATAGATGCAGTGATTTTAACCAAACCAAAATGAAAATCTGCAAATGTGGGTGAGGAATCCGAAAAATCCTCCAAATCCCAAAATACAGACAAATACATCACCAGAGAAAAAGCAACTGATAAACTGAAACCAATAAAAACTGACCAAACTAAATCAGAGGTATATTGCTTGTATATGTTATAGATGAAAACACAGAATCAATAAGTCTACTATCACAGTGCAAATACCACCAACCTGTCACTTGCCATTAAATCACTAAAATAAAATGTACAAACCACCGGAACCTTTTGAAAAGAAGTCCCTCTCTGCCCGACACAGAGGTAACTCCAGGTCACATCTACCTGCCTAACACCAGGTCCTGCTTTAATCAATACAGAACTATACTGAGCCCACTGAGCCCACTGCCTCCAACCCGCACCACAATCATCCTCCACACCGCAATCATAATCATCGCCCACCGTCCACAGCAGACATGAGTCATCTGAAAACGATTGATAACCGGGTCAGTCAATTAAGACAATTAACTTTATTGTGTAGTGTAGATATCACCTGCTTCTGACGACAAGAAGAGGGGAAGTTAATTGATCGAACTATTTTAGAATATTGGTATAAGAGATAGACTAGGAAGACTTCATATCAATTCAGTGTTTAAAGGTGATTGTGTTAACACCAACACCTCAGACTTGATTTCACTCTGTCTGAAAAGTCGGATGGCAGAAGCACATCTGTCATCCTGAGGACAAAGATGCTGTCAAAAGACTCATTAGAGAGTGTGCTGTGTTTAACATTTTAACGACCCTTAGAACATTAGTCTTTTGACAACTAATAAAATGTCATATCAATCATTTTCCTTCTGCCAATTTCTCCACTCTCATATTTCTATTTGACAGTAAGTGACCTGTTCATGTCCAGCTCATCATTTGTTGGTGATTTTCTATCTTAGGTTAATCTCTAGCAGGGCTGGGCGATAAGACGATAAGATAATTATCACAATATAACTTTTCCTTGATATAAGACATAGATCGATAGGTCGATAGAACTCATCCCGACCATGTTTTGAAAGAAATCACAAACAGCCAAAGACAATAAGAAAAGCACAGCGATGAAACCAATCACATGGCTGTTATACAGTTACAGCCACGTCAGGTTGACCCACACAGCACAGAGTGTAGGAGCAGCAGCAGCACACATGCTAATGTTAGGGCTTCTGCATAGAGGTGGACGACTGCATCGATGCAGTGACAGAACATTATCAATTCATGTTTTCTGCTACGTTCATAGTTTTAGCAGCTTTCCACCGCTGAATAATTATAACCAGCGCTGCTTCAGGATCAAGACAGATGCTCATTAAAGGTCTGGTCCTCCTGGATGAGTCAGAGTCTCCTGTTGGAGTCTGCTTCCTCCTCACATCCCCTCTGACCTGCGCTCACTTTACACTTTAACAATAAACACCACTGATCAGAAGTTATAGGAAAGGTACAGGACTGATGTCTACTTTGTGTTTGTTCGATTTGCTCTAGAGTTTATGAGACACATGTTTATTCTGCTACACAACACAAGACTTAACGTGATGCGCACAACCAGGACATCAGGGTCAAAGTGATCACACACACACACACACACACACACACACACACACACACACACACAGGGGCAGAAGTTTCTATAGACTAACGTTATACTGAAATAAAGTTGATATTATTTGTCACTATAATAATGTTGGTTGGCTTCCAAGAGGAGGATTTTCTAGCCGTACCCCTTGCAGCTCCTTTTGGAGGGGGACACTCTCAGCCAAGGGCACTTCATATGTAGGGGTAGGGCCAAGGGAGAGGAACTGGCTCAGGGTATTAATTTAATTCCAAATTAGACCTACACTACTAAATCTGCAATAACACACTATAGCCTGATTGGTATCCAGAGAGTATATACCTCCACCAAAGCCCAACAGTCCACTTGTGAAACCATGTGTAAGTTCATTAGATCCTAATTTTTATTTGCATCTGTGCCAAATTGCACTCATAAATAGTCCAACAAACATGTTTGATCCATGAATTATTGTCTGATAAAGACACAAAAATGTTGAAAGTGCAATGTCAAAGAAAGAGAGAAACCCTGGATCCCCTGGTCCAAATCCACAACAAAATTTAATGGGTTCTTTCTTGACTAACACACAAACAAACTTCCTTTGCGGAGGTAATAAAATAGCAAGCAACACCCACTGTTTTATTGTTTGCTACAATGCACCGTGGTGATACTGATTTAATTGCAAATGATCAAATAGCATCATGGAGACTGGTGCAAAACCCTGGATGTTTCCACAACTTGGTCATCCATAGTAAACATAGTTGTCCATGCAGCAAAAGGACAAGAGACAAACACACACACACACACACACAGACAGACAGACAGACAGACAGACAGACAAACCTTAGAGGCAGAGGTGGTGTCCACATTGGAGGAGGTGATGGTGGTGGAGGCCTCGCTGACTGTTGTGCTGGAGAGCTGCTCACCGGCGGGTTTGGACATAATGCGAGCATCCTGTGGCCTGAACAACAACACACAGAAAAAAATTTGAAACAATTATTTTTCAAATTTGATATAAAATATATATACATCCCGTAGAGGGTTTATGGAGAGTTAAGATGTGTGTGTGTGTGGACAGCCAAATTCTAACTACAGTTTGATCTGAAGTCATGATATTCTCCCTGTCCCCACAGCACACGCCTTGGAGGGCAATGATGAATACAGTTTCTTTTGTGTGTGTGTGTGTGTGTGTGTGTGTGTGTGTGT